AGTTTTCAGCACTCCATGTCAGGGTGACAAAAACCAGTAAATAGACTTCTCCACAAAAAGCCAAAACTTTGAAACCATGATCCACTCCTCTAGGTCTCTTCGGAGGGAGATACTGAGAGTTGGAAGTTTTCTTCTGAGCTCCCTCTGTTGTTCTGGGGAAGAGGAGGGCATGTGGTAGTCAGTCAACAAGCTGTGTCTGGTCACATTTATGGAGGAAAACAAGAGCCCTGGAATATAAAGGAAGCGAAAACCATAGCCATACACTCAAGGACATGGGAATACATGTGCAGATGACACAGATGAGAAGCACAAATGTCAAAGAACAAGCCAGACTTCAAAATGTGGTTTTGGGCCAGGCGTGGTGGCTCACACCCGTAATCCCAGCACTTTGTGAGGTGGAGGCAAGATGACTGACTGAGTCCAGGGGATTTGAGACCAGCCTGGGCAGCATGGTGAGACTTTGTCTCTGCAGTAAATAAAAAAATTAGCTGGGCGTGGTGATGCACGGCTGTGGTTCCAGCTACTTGGAAGGCTGAGGTGGAAGGATTGCCTGAGCCCAGCAGTTCAAGGCTGCGGTGGCTGGGAGCATGCCACTGCACTCTAGCCTGGGCGACAGAGTGAGACTCCAACTCAAAATAAATAAATAAATAGATGAAAGGTGGATTGGGAAGCTCTGCTTCAATGAAAAAAGAGTTTTAAGCCTAGGTTTCTTCTGTTTCCACAGAGCGACATCTCCTGTTTATTCCATTGCACTTCAATCCTATTCTTCTCTTTCCTTTTCAGTGCACTTCCAGCACATGCGTGGTAAAAGCCAATATTTTCTGCATGTACTGCTCTTCCATTGCTTTGGGGGTTTGGGAAAAATTTGGGATCATTTCTAGGTAGTCCTATTGTAAGTTATTTTAAAAGTTTAGTTTTTGCCTCTTGTGAGAAGTGTATGAGGGGAGTAGTGGGGTTATTGAAATTTGGCTTCCAGTTGGAGTTCATTAATCTTGCTTTTACTGTTTTTCTTTATTCCATTTGAGAATTTCTGACTGTTTTGTATTTTTCAACTTCACAAATTCTATCATTTTTATAGTTTTTTTGGTCCTTTTTATTTATTTTTTCCTGGTTTTGTTTGGTTATCTGCATTTTTGTTTAAAATATTAAGCATACTTAAGATTTTTTTTTGTTGCTTGTTTTTGATGTTGTTAGGGATCTGGATTTTTGTTATTGTTGTTGTTCCCTTAATTGTGTCATCTTTTCCTGATTCTTAGCATGCTTTGTGATACTTTGTTGATGCTTGGAAATTTTAAACAGCTTCTTGTCATGATCTTTATGGAGTTGCTTTGTCTAGATAAGTGTGACACCAGTCACTAAGTTAGAGATTCTGGGAGTCTCTTGTACTTGTTCTTAGGATGTGTCTTCGTAATTATGCATCTACACTTCTAGTTAATTAGTTTGTCCATGTTTCTTCTGAAGGGCTCACCGTTATTTGCTGTATCTGTGGTCTGTCTCTTGTGCTGTATAAATTCTTTACTTTTAGCCTCAATAGACCTAATCTGTCATCCAAAGTATACCACTAGCTCCATCAGCATATTCTGTGTATAAGGGGAGACAGAAACCAGTCTTCGGGTAAATTTCCAAGTTCCAAATTCCTAATTCAAAAGTTCCACTGTTCTCCTTCCCTGAGGAAGAAGCCAAGAGCTGGAAATTCTCATCTGATTGAATCCTGTTTTATTGTGAATTAATTGTAATTGTAATTGTGAATTAAAAGTAATTGTAGTGACAAAATTACTAAACTTTTCCATGTAACCCTTGACATTGTGCTCACTTTGGATTTTGCAAACTCTTACCTGTTTTTTGGAGTTCTCACAAAGGTAACTTGGCCAGTATTATGTTAAATTCATATACTTATGAAGGAGTGAAGACCTGTGATTTTTATTTTGCCATTTTGCTGATGTCCTTAGCATGGTATTATATTATGTTAGATTTGTGAGATGTCTTTACCTGAGTCTAGTACGGAGATACATTCTTATTTTTATTATTTTTAGCTGTGACTTCTTATTACATTGAAGACCTTTTGCCAGTGAGAAGTACAGCAGAGTCACTGACACAGGTGATATTGGAAAGATATGGGAGATTTGGTTGTAATAATTCACACTTAACAAAAGATTAGGAAAGTGTGAATGAGGGTGAAGTGCATATGTAACAAATTGGGAAAGATCTTTCAACACTCCAAATTTATTATCCACTAGGATTTCCATATTTCCAAAATGACTTATAAATTTGATGCATATGGTAAAACATTTAACCGATCTTCAAAATGTACTCAACATCAGAGAGTTAATATTGGAAGAAGTTTACACAAATGTAATATATGTGAAAAAGTGTTTCATAATTCATACAGATGTAAATAAATGTGACAAAGCCTTTCACTTTTGTTCAGGTCTCACTGGATATACTTGGAGCCATACTAGAGAGACACCATTCAAATGTGAAAAATGTGACAAAGCCTTTCATCAGTACTCACATCTTACTCGACACCAGAGAATCCATACTGAAGGGAAACCCTACAAATGTGAAGAATGTGGCAAAGCCTTTTGCTCTTTTCAAGGATTTGCTGGACATTCGAGGATCCATACTGGAGAGAAGCCCTACAAATGTAAAGAATGTGGCAAAGCCTTTCACTTTCATTCAGGACTTGGTGCACATATGCCCACCCATACTGGAGAGAAACCCTACAAATGTAAAGAATGTGGCAAAGCCTTTCGCTCTTATTCAGAACTTGCTCATCATATACAGATCCATACTGGAGAGAAACCTTACAAATGTAAAGAATGTGGCAAAACCTTTCGCTCTCATACAAGACGTGCTGAACATATGAGGATCCATACTGGAGAGAAACCCTACAAATGTAAAGAATGTGGCAAAGCCTTTCGCTCTTATTCAGGACTTGCTGAACATACAAGAATCCATACTGGAGAGAAACCCTACAAATGTAAAGAATGTGACAAAGCCTTTCACTTTTATTCAGGACTTGCTTCCCACAGGACTACCCATACTGGAGAGAAACCCTACAAATGTAAAGAATGTGACAAAGCCTTTGGCTTTTGTTCAGAACTTGGTCGACATATAAAGATTCATACTGGAGAGAAACCCTACAAGTGTAAAGAATGTGGCAAAGCCTTTCGCTCTCATTCAGAACATGCTCGACACATGAAGATCCATACTGGAGAGAAACCCTATAATTGTAAAGAATGTGGTAAAGCCTTTCGTTCTCCTAGTGGATTTGCTCAACATATAAAGACTCATACTGAAGGGAAACCCTATAAATGTGAAGAATGTAGCAAAGACTTCCGCTCTCATAAAGCATTTGTTGGACATATGAGGATCCATACTGGAGAGAAACCCTATCGATGTGAAGAATGTGGCAAAGCTGTTCGTTCTGATAAAGGATTTGCTAGACATATGAGAATCCATAGTGGAGAGAAACCCTACAAATGTGAAGAATGTGGCAAAGCCTTTATGCTTCACTCATACTTCACGATACATCAGAGAGTCCACACTGGAGAGAGACCCTACAAGTGTAAAGAATGTGACAAAGCCTTTAAATGGTACTCAAATCTTATTGAACATGAGAGAATCCATACTAGAGCAAAAACCTACAAAAGTGAAGAATGTGACAAAACCTTTCACTTTCATTCAGTACTTGTTGGACATATGTGGAGCTACACTGGAGGGAAACACTACAAATGCAAAGAATGTGACAAAACCTTTCGCTCTCATTCAGGACTTGCTCAACATATGAACATCCATACTGGAGAGAACTACAAATGTTAGGAATGTGACAGATCCTTTTTTCAGTACTCAGGTCTCATTGGACATCAGAGAATCCATACTAGAGGGAAACTCTACAAATGTAAAGAATGTAGCAAAGTCTTTTGCTCCCTCTATAAGGGACTTGCTGGGCATATGTGAATGCATACTGGAGAGAAACCTTACAAATGTGAAGAATGTGACAAAGCCTTTATTCAATACTCATGTCTTATTCAACATCAGAGAATTCATACTGGGGACTAGCCCTAGGAATATAAAGAATGGGGCAAAACTTAAACCATTACTCCAGCTTTCCTCAACATCAGGGAGTTTATACTCAGTAAATTTCCTATACCTGTAAAAGAGTGAGAAAACATTTATCAAAATATAAGCCTTAGTGAGCCTGGGGAGAGAAGATTTACAGATGTAAAGTTGCATTTTCTTTGTACCACAGACCTATTGAATGTATAAATGTAAAGAATGAAGCTGATAACTGTAGCTAAACCTCTATTTAACATTAGGAAATTTGCATTGGAACGAAGGTCTGCAAACTTAATGAATGTGGAATGATCATTGTTCAAATTATATGCCCAAGAAAACACCAGGATGATCATACTGAAAAATTTACACATGATATATGTGGAAACATGTATCAAAGTCAAAACAATTAGATAAATTATTTACTTACATGTTGAGTAGGAACAGAAGATTGATTTTTTTCTTCTTCTTTTTTTAGGGAGGTATAATTGTATTCCATGTATACTTTTGTTTGAAGTGGGTGCTCAGGGTGACACTTTTGGGCACTGAAATAAAAAACAAACACTGAGTGTTTTAGAAACCACTTGTTTTACCAGTTGGATATGAAGTAAAAAAATGAGGGCAGGCAATTAATATCTTGATGTATTTTCATAATATCAATACCTACATGTCCTACTAAGTATTATTTCATAAGGTAGAGATGTTTTCACGGATATCAGAGAGAAGGTTGTTTCTCTCTAAAAAGACATTTATTGTAAATTTATGTTTAGTAAGATTTACTTTTTTTAATGAATACATTGGACTTTTTTTTGAGGTGTGACCATTTGAAAAAAACTCACAGACTAACCACAAAGCCTAGAAATATATCTTAAGCAGTTAATATGTCACAAATACATAAAATATATGTATATCCTAGTGTATTTTGCCATTTACTACCATAAAACATAAAAAACTATCATAAAAAGGTAAACTTAAAATTGAAGTGTTACAGATTATACAGGACACCATTAGCAGTTGAGAAAAGTGTGGCAAATGTTAAGATGCAGTATTAAATCATACTGCATAAAATTACCTATGGCACATAATATACCATTTAATAATTTTGTGGCCACTTCCTACCACTATGTAATGAGTGCAGGTGTTGTGAAATTCTAATTAACACACCATGTGATACTGGTGTTTCTATACGAGCAGTTGGTCTCAGCAGGGTCAATCAAGAAAAGTATATAAAGTGATTATGGATCTGGTGAAAAGGTTAGGAACAAAGGGTGTTAAAATATAGATCTTAAGGACATTCAAGAGTTAACAGGTTAATGACTTAAGAGGGGTTAGCTCCAGGGGAGTTAACAGCTAATAACTTAAGAAGATGAGTGCTTCCAACCCCACATTCGGTAATAAGAAAGATGCAGAAGAGGCCAGGCACATACCTATGATACCAGCACTTTGGGAGGTGGAGGCACGATGATTGCCTGAGGCTGAGCAACAGTAAATCAAAACATTAGCCAGGCATTGTGTGTGCACCACTGCTTGGAGGCTATGGCAGGAGGATCACCTGAGCCCAGCAAGCATGCCACTGCACTGCACTGCCAGCAATTGCATGAGTCCCTGCCTCAAGAAAAATGACAGTGAAACAGCAGTGCCAGAAACAAATTAGCATTAGACAAGCTGGCAGAAGGATTGTGATGACTGGAAATTTCTTTTGACTACTTTTATAATGTGGGCCCTTGTAAAATAGGGCAATTAAACTGAAGCAACTAGTGGAAGATTTGGTACCACATAAACACGCTTTTAGAGAAGTGAAAATGCAAAAAGATAAGACACAAATTAAGGTATGTTTCTGTATAGCTGTACCAAGTATCCTGCTCGCCTGTCACCCCTCCCGCTTTCTCCACCTCTTCTGCCACCCCTGAAACAGCAAGGCCTGGCTCTCCTCTTCCTTTTCTCCCCTCAGCTTCCTCCATCTGAAGACAGCTAGGATGAAGAATTTTATAACAATCCCCTCTCACTGAGTGAGTAGTAAGAATATTTTTCTTCCTTTTGATTTTCTCCTTTCTTTTTCTTTTGACTGTAGTGGGTACCCATGCAGGTTGGTTACATGAGTATACTGCATGATGATGAGATTTGGACTTGAACCCATCACCCAGACTTGAAGATGTGGCCCCACAGGCAAGTATTCAACTTTTGCCTCCCTCAGTCCCCCTTCATGAGTCCCCAGTGTCTGCCATTCTTATCTCTATATCTGTGTGTACCCAGCGTTTCACTTATACACAAGAACATGCAGTATTTGGTTTTTTCTTTCTGGAGTTAATTCACTTATGATATTGGCAGAATACAGTATGTAACACACATAAGATACAAAATATGTTAATAAACTTTGTTAGTGATGGAATTTGGACAATAGTAGGCTATTAATAGTAATGTTTTGAGGTATTCAAAAGTTATGCTTGGAGTTTTGACTGTGAGTGGAGCAGTGCCCCTAACCCTTGCGTTGTTCAAGGGCCACCTGTATTAATTTAAATGTTTTCTTTTGCTTTGGAGTCGATCACCCAGGCTTTTGGGCAGTGGCATGATCACGACTCACAGCAGTCTCAAACTCCTGGGCTCATATGATTCTCCTGCATCAACCTTCCAAGTAGCTAGGACTACAAATGTGTGCCACCATGCCTGAACAGTCTTTGAACTTTTGTAGAGATTGGGTCTCGCTATGTTTCCTAGGCTGGAATTCAAACATGTTAATAACTTCTGCCTCCTTCCTCGGGGAAGAAGGAGAACAGTGGAACATGAGTCCCACTTCTGGAATTTGGGGACTCACCCACAGACTGTTTTCAATCTCTCTTTACAAAGGCAGCTTAAGGAAATGGTGGTATACTTTGGATGACAGGTTGGGTTTGTTGAGACAAAATATAAATGATTCTTACAGTACCAAAGAGACTAGTACCATAGACCACAAATATAGCAAATAACAATGAGCTATTGAGCATGGTCAGAACTATTTAACTGGAAGAGTAGATGCACAATTCCAGAGAAAACACATTCTGAGAACAGGTATGAGAGCCTCCCAGAAAATCTTAATGATTGGTGTTACACTTATGTAGACAAAGTAACGTTATAAAGGTTATGACAGGTAGCTCTTTTTAAAATGTTCAAATGTTGACAGTATTACAAAGCATACAAAGAATCAGAGAAAGATGACCCAATTAATAGAACAATAAAAAATCCAAAATCAACCCCAAAGAAACAAAGATACATATACTCTGACGAAGTATTCGAAAGAACCACCTTAGAAAAATAAATAAAAACCAACTTGATGATTAAGAAGTGAAACAAGAATACAGATGATTAAACAAAGCGAGGAAAAGACTATCCACAAATAGATCAAATAACTCAGTCAAAAACACAGATCTGTGGAGCTGAAAAATACAGAAAAGTCAGAAATCCTCAAATGTAATGAAAAAAATGATTAGTGAACTCAAGATAACCAAACATACAGATAGGTTATCAAAGTTTTGTGCCAGGTGTGATGGTTCATGCCTGTAATCACAGCACTTTGGGAGGTGGAGGTAAGATTGCCTGAGCCCAGGATTTGAGACCAGCCTGTGTAACATGGTGAAACCTTGTCTCTACAATTAATTAGCTAGGTGTGTGGCACACACCTGTAGTTCCAGCTACTTGGAAGGCTGAGGCAGAAGAATTGCCTGAACACAGCAGGTTGAGGCTGCAGTGGCTATGAGCATGCTACTGCTTTCCAGTCTGGGCAACAGAGTGAGGCTCCAACTCAGAAAGAACAAAACAAAATAAAACTAGCCAGGCAAAAAGGCTTGTGCCTGTAGTCCCAGCTACTTGGAAGGCAGTGGCGGAAGCACCACCTGAGGCTATCAGGTCAATGATTCAGTGGCCATTAGCATGCCACTGCTCTCTGGCCTGGGTGACAGAGTGCGATTCTTACTCAATAAAATTTGAAAGTCACAGACAAAGAGATGCTTAAAGAAAGCAAGAGGAAACTGATGTGTCATCTGTAGGGGTGCTTCTATGAGATTATCAGTGGACTTCTCAGTAGAAATCTTGCAGGCCAGAAAGAATTTGAGTTATATAGCAAACACACTGAAAGAACAAAACTACTCAACAATACTAAATCCAGCAAACTTGTCCTTGAAAATGAAAAAAATACAGACTTTCAAGATAAAATCTAAAAAAAAAAAATTAATTGCCACTAGACTTCCCCTACAAGAAATGCTAAAGGAAGCTTGTCTCATAGAATGATAAACTGATTCTGGAAAGCATCAAAAAAATCAATTAAAATTATGACATTTTACAAATGGTATATAAGAGGGACCTATAGCTGGGCTCGGTGGCTCAGCCTGTAATCCTGCGCTTTGGGAGGCTGAGGTGAGTGGATTGCCTGAGCCCGCGGGTTTGAGACCCACCTGGGCAACCTGCCAAGACCTCATCTCTACAATAAATCAAAAAATCAAGCTGGGCTCGGTGGCTCAGCTTGTAATCCCGCACTTTGGAGGGCTGAGGTGAGTGGATTGACTGAGCCCGCGGGTTCGAGACCCGCCTGGGCAGGGAGACCTCATCTCTACAATAAATTAAAAAAATCAGCTGGGCGTGGTAGCGCATGTCTGTATTTCCGGCTACTCGGAAGGCTAAGGCGGAAGGATCGCCGGTGCCCAGTAGGTCGAAGGAGCGGCCAGTCAGGGTGATAGTGAGACTCCAACTCAAAAAAAAAAAAAAAGGTCCCTAAAAAGCCTACAGTTATCTTTTTGGAGGGTAGATCCCTTGTAATACAGGCTTTCCTGCTAGTTAAGTTTTCTAAGCGTACCAGCTAGCGTTTTTGTGAAAGGTTGCATTGAGGGAAAAAAATGTAGTGAGTTGTGGCAAAGAGGTAACTGGTTCTTCAACCATGACAAAGCACTTGCCTGCTCCATGCTGACCATTCAGCAGTTTCTGACCGAATATGGCATTACCCTATGTGCCACCCTTTCGATTAACCCAATCTCTCCCCAAGTGATGTTTTTTGTTTCCTCACTTGAAAAAAGTCCTTAAAAGGAAATATTTTGTTGATGTGAAAAAGGCGAAACCAAAAAACAGAATCACTGAGGGGCAACAAAATTGACAAGTTCGAAAGCTGTTCTCAGCAGTGGAAAAACCATCTTACATAAGGTATATGTTAGCAAACAGTACTTTGAAGATGACTAAAGTTCAAACAAGAATACACAATATTTTGTAAATAATACTGGATTTTTTGGGGTCCCCCTTGTATACATACACAAATACGATTTTGTAGAATCAATGATGGTGCATGCAATTTATCATTCCACTATAGAATTTAAAGATAAAAGCAAAAATATCCCCCCAAAACCAAAAAAATCCATAAATTGCTAACAAATACAGAATAGAAAAATATATAATTGATGACATTAATAAATAATAACAAAGGAGGCAATGCAAAGAGGAAGAGCTTTTATTTGCAACTGATATTAGTTATGTGGCTACCAGTTTAATATGCATTGTTGTAAATTTGAGATATTTAACATTTTTCCCTGGTTTCCACAAAGAAAACAGCTATAGGGAAACAAAAAAGGAAATGAGAAAGGAATCAAAAGCAAGCCACTATAAAAATTAAAAAGATGCAAGGACTGCAGTAAGAGGAAAAAAAGATGAACACAAAAGCTACAAAGAAAAATAACAACAGAAAACAGTTACCAAAATGGTAATAGTTAAGTTTGTTCCTTACAGATATCTCCTTAAATATATATAAACTTCCCAATCAAAATATCTTGGTTAAAGGCATTAAAAAATAAGATTCAACTTAAAGCCGGTGCGGTGGCTCAAGTCTATGATCTCACCACTTTGGGAGGCTGAGGCGAGAGGACTGCCTGAGCCCGTGGGTTCGAGACCAGCCTGGGCAACATGGTGAGACCTTGTCTCTACAATTAAAAAAATAAAAAAATTAGCTGGGCATGGTAACTCATGCCTGTAGTTCCTGTTATTTGGAAGGCTGAAGCAGAAGGATGACCGGAGCCCAGCAGTCTGACGCTGGGGTGGTCGTGAGCATGCCACTGCACTCCAGCCTGGGTGACGAAGTGAGACTCAAACTCAAAAAAAAAAAAAAAATATTCAACTTACACTGTCTACAAGAGAGTCACTTTAAGATGCAAAGTGGCTAAAAGTGACAGCATGACAATGTAAAAATCTATCACAAGAAGCAATGATATACAGTGACAAAAATGGTCAATTTACTAGGATTCTATAGCAGGTATAAATCTGTATGTAACTAACATCAGTGTTCCCAAGTATATGAAGCAAATATTGGCAAAATAAAGCAAAAAATACACAGCAACACAATAACTGAAAGAATTCAATACCCCACTTTTTTTTTTTTTTTTTTGGAGTTGGAGTCTCACTGTTTCCCAGACTGGAGTGCAGTGGCACGCTTATGGCCACTGCAGCCTCAACCTGCTGGAACCACAGGCATGCACCACAATGCCCGGCTAGTTTTTTATTTATTGTAGAGATGAGGTCTCGCTAAGTTGCCCAGGCTGGTCTCAAACCCCTGGGCTCAGGCAATCCTCTGGCCTCAGCCTCCCAAAGTGGTGGGATTACAGACATGAGCCACCGTGCCTTGAGCAATATCCCACTTTCAATAATTAACAGAAATGCTAGGTAAGAGATCAGTAAGAAAACAGAGCTCTTGGGTTCGAGACCAGCCTGGGCAACTTGGCAAGACCTCATCTCTAAAATAAGTAAAAAAAACTTAGCCAGGCATGGTGGTGTGTGCCTGTAGTTCCAGCTACTTGTAAGGCTGAGGCAGAAGGATCACCTGTCCTGAACCCAGCGGTTGAGGCTCTGGTGACTGAGTGTGCCACCGCACTCTAGCCTGGGTGACAGAGTGAGACTCCAACTTAAAAACAAACAAACATAAGCAACAAAGAAAAGTAAAATGGGACTAACTAAATCCAGTTGCCCAGGCTGGTCTCGAACCCAAGGGCTCTGTTTTCTTACTGATCTCTTATCTGGCATTTCTGTTAATTATTGAAAGTGGGGTATTGCTCATATTCACATTATAGGAAGCATTCAGTGGAATAAAAACAAAGGATGAGAGAAAATATTTGCAATTTACATGTTTGAGAGGAATTAAGATTCAGGATGTAGATAACTCCTAAAACTCAACAATAGAAAGTGAATGACATGATTTAAAACTGGAGAAATCAATAAACAGGCATTTCTTTAAGAAATACATACAAGCCGGGCTCTGTGGCTCAGCCTGTAATCCCTTGCCTTGGGAGGCTGAGGTGGGTAGATTGCCTGAGCCCGCGGGTTCGAGACCCGCCTGGGCAGGCAAGACCTCGTCTCTACAATAAATCAAAAAATTAGCTGCGCATGGTA